GATATCATCTTCCTTTAGCCAATATGAAGGGAAGTAGAAATTTGGCAAATATCCCATTGATATGATCAACATCAGATAACTGAATTATTTTACCAAAGAATTAATTTAGGAAACTGAATTATCCTTGCCTGGATGTCTGGATAGCTAGGCAACATGGCAAAGTGACGGAGGCCAGAAAACCCTGAATCTGAAGGTCTAGGTTTGAGTCCTGACTTTGTCATTTGTTAAATATGGGACTTTAAGCAAATGACTGACCTTCTCTAGAGTCCACTTTCCTTGTGTAGTGGAATTGGTTTTTCACTGAATAAAGGCCAGATAATTAAATGTTAGGGTAACAAGATTTAAATTTAAACACACTGGGGCTCCTCTCAGGAGGTGTGAATTATGTTGGAGAAGATGTGGGGAAATTGGAACACTGATGTGTTGTTGGCGGAGTTATGAACTGATTCAACTGTTTTGGAGAGCAATTTGGAACTATGCCCATAGGACTATAAAACTGTGTATGTCCTTTGATGCAGCAATAGCACTTCTAGGGCTGAATCCCAAAGAGATCATAAAAAATGGAAAATAACCCACATGTACAAAAATATTTATAGCAGCTCTTTTTATGGTGGCAAAGAATTGGAAATCAAGGGGATGCCTATCAATTGGGTAATAACTGAATTGTGGTATATGAATGTAATGGAATACCATCATTCCATGAGAAATTCCATAAGAAATGATGAGCAGGCAGATTTCAGAAAAACCTGGAAAGACTTACATGAACTGGTTCTGAGTGAAGTGAGCAGAACCAGGAGAACATAGTACACAGTAACAGCAACATTATGCAATGATCAACTATGATAGACTTAGCTCTTCTCAGTGATACAGTGATCTAAGACAATTCCAAAAGACTCATGATGGAAAATGCTATCCACATCTGGAGAAAGAACTATAGAGTCTAAATGCAGATCAAAGCAAATTATTTTCATTTTTTTTGTTTTTTTTCTTTCTCACAGTTTTCCCCTTTTGTTCTGATTCTTTCACAGCATGACCAATGTGGAAATATGTTTAATATGATTGTACCTGCATAACCTATATCAGATTGCTTGCTGTCTTGGGGAGGGATAGGGGATGAAGAAAGGGACAAAAATATGGAACTCAAAATCTTATTAAAATGAATGTTGAAAACTATCTTCACATGTAATTGGAAAAAATAAAATACTTGTTAAGTGGGAAAAAAGGTGTGAATTAGCCCCTTACCTTAAGTGAATAAAAAAGAGACTGTTTAGATAGGATGAAAAAGGTTAAGCCAAGCCTGAGTTCAGAGGACAGACTGGAAGAGAAACCCAGTTTCTATCAGTGAGGGGCAGAAATACCATGAAACCAGAGAAAGAGAAGCCATCTAACTCTGAGAAAGCATTTACATTTGGGGATAACCACCATAGAGAAAGGAGACAGGACTCTGGGAGCAAGGCTACATAGGCCTAGGAGACATGCGGTATGTCCAGACAGAAGTTGTGTTTCTGGAACTCTTGGACTACAGGCCTCAGGGAGATAGCTCTCTATCTTCCTCTCCTCCTTGGTCTATTTTGTGGCAAGATGTCACAGAGATCTCAAACTCAACACGTCCAAATTGAATTCATCACCTTCTCCCTCCCCTTTCCCCTCTCCTCTTCCAAACTTTTCTTTTTCTATCTGTTGAAGGCACCATCATCCTTCCAGCCTCTCAGGATCATAAGCTTATAACCTCAGCATTATCCTTGACTCTTCATTCATCTTGACTCTTTAATCTCCATACCCTCCTTTCACTCCTGCTCACCTCAAATATCCAATCTCTGCCACATCTTGCCATTTCTACCTCCACAGTATTTCTCAAATCTGATCCCTTCTCTCCACTCACACGATTAATTATCGTGTCTGGATATTATAGATAAAGGACCCTTACTGCAGACCCTCATCAACTCTTGCCTGATTATTGCAACAGCTTCCTAATTCAGCCTTCTGCTTCAAATTTCTCACCATTCTACACACCATTGCCAAAACCATTTTCCCTAGGTGCAGATCTCATCATGTCACTTTGCTCCTCCATCAAGTCCAGTGGCTCTGCACTATTGTCTTTAGGATAAAATATAAACTGTTCTGTTTAGCTTTTAAAACTCTTTATAACCTGTCCCCCGTTCATCTTTCCAGCATCATTGGAAATTATTCTCCTGAAGACTGTGCTCTAGCCAAATGGCCTTTTTTTTTTCCTGTTGTGTAACACACAATCTATCTCTTTTCCTAGTGGCCAATTGTGCCATCATTGTACCCCCATCCAATGCAATGGATTACTCAGAACCTGAGGGTTCAGATAAACAATTCCTTTAATAATAATAATAATAATAATAATAATAATAATAATAATAATAATATAATAATAATAATAATACCATATTCAGTGGTCCTTAGGTTAAAAAGAAATCCATTGGAAGGTAAAAGAAGATAAAAGCTAAAGGTAAGGAGATAAATAAGCATTCAGTAAGTCAGCTAAGAAGTTCATTTGGCCTTCCTGAGCTTCCAGACAAAGTCCTGAATCTGTTGTTATATATTCTTTGTCAAAGGATCTATGGTGGGCCCTAGGTTAATTCAGCTACAGGCAAAGCTAACTCAAACAATCCCAGTTTAGCTTAGCCAAGTCTTGGCTCACAATAGCTCTCTTGGTGGTAGGGAAGTGTTGGGGTAAATGCAACCTTCTTCAGTTCTACAAAAGTCCTGACCCACTACTCATGGCATTCTGGCTGGTCATGGAAACCTTTAGGGCAGCAGCAGCACCATCAAGACCACACAGCTGAAGGGAAATTTTAGGATGTTGAAGAGCAACAGAATGCACTGGGGAAGTGCAACTGGGGTTTGTGAATTTTCAAGATACTTGTCCAGATCAAATAAAGAGGATTTTTGGCAACCTATATGATCTTGGACTATTGTGGCTTCCACTACAATTTGGAAAATTTAATGAGCTTTCGTATTTGAATACTGGAATCCGGGGTTTCCCTCTTGCCTCTTGACAAAGCCAAAATTGAAATGGCTCATTTGACTGGAAATGGGCTAAGGTTACTCCCTAAACTCCCAGATATTAAGAAAGGACTGTGTCAGTTGGATCAGAATTGGTCTCTAACCTGTGGGTGGCCAGAGCCAAACAAATACAGCAGGCTAAAGACAGAAGAATCGGGACACAAATAGAAGTTGAATTAATTTCAGAGTGAGAAAAAAAGATGTATGCATATGGAAGTCCCTCCCCCCCCCTTCCCTTCAGAAGTAGGGCTTAAGTCTGCTAAGGTGGCAGCCACTTATATACCTGAAAGAGGTTGGCTTACAACACCATCATTCTTAGATCTTGAGATAGTTCTCATGGTTGGCATTTCTTGGGACAATATGGGCATTCTTGGGTCCTATGGGAACAGTCATTGTCTTGGGGGTTGTGGCCACCCTGCCAGGTACAGAACCAGAGCTCTGTGACAGGAACAGGAGTACAGTACCTGTCAGTAATTGTGAACATGCGATGGATGGCCCTGGGAAATAGGGGAAGCTAAATCCCTCAGTGAACACTGGGTGCTGGTCCAAGCAATACACTTTGCCAAAAAGGGAGCGCAAAGGATTATTGTTGTGCCAAGCTCAGGGCACATCCTTCTTATTAGGCCTTAGCTATGGAAAACAGGGTATCTTCAAAATATTTTGACATTTGCCAATTTTGGCCAAAGGGAGGGGATCTGAAAGGACTCCTACTCCTGTGGCCAACAACGGAGAGGCAGATGTATACCCTGAGATATTGCCCAGGGGGTTAGTTCTTTGAGGGGACCTGTCAGAGAAAGGTCTCAGGTATAATTGCCAACCGTTGTCTGAGTGAGGGGAAGGGGTCAAGAATGTCAGAGTAAGAAAATACCAATACAGCTTAAATCAGGGCATTGGTGGTTGGGTAGTAGCAAAAGGAGAGAGATCAAAAACTAGGACAGTAGGCTCCTGAATCTTGGGACAGGGGTCCCATCAGATGTTGACCGTTTCTAGGCCTGTCCACTCAGGGGTAGGGGCTTACTTCAGAGGATCCAGGATTAAACAATGCAATAAAGCTTTTCTCATATTTCCCATAATTGCATAATTACATTAAGTCAGGTACAGATCAAATTACTTAGAAGGCTCACAAAGGATTTGTTCTGAGAAGGGAGATTTACACGTCAGCAAAGTAACCAAGAAAACTCAAACATTAACATATTTATTCTCAGGACAAATTCTAAAAGGGGCTTTTCTGGCTTCACATCTAGAGGCTCCTAGATAATTCTGACTTAATATAGTTGAGTATAATCACTTAAATTTGGTTCTCCAATTTTGAAACTTCAGCGAATTTCAGTTTATATATCATTTAACCTAAATCCTGTACCTGATATGAGTCTTTTAAAAATTTATGAGAGGGGCAGCTAGGTAGATAGAGCACTGGCCCTGCAATCAGGGACCTGAGTTCAAATCTGGCCTCAGATACTCAGCTGTGTGACTCTGGCCAAGTCATTTAAGCCCAGTTACCTCATGGAAAAAAAATTATGAGAGACTAACTGACAATGAACTCTTCCATCCTTTAAGATTACCAGACAGATAAAAAATTGGAAAATAATTTAACTCTATGTACCGTTATCAATACAATTTTTGTATAAAATCCAATTACTCCTTAATAAATCCTTAATCCAATTTTGAGAACATATTACCAAAATATATTATTAAACTTAAAACTGAAATGCAAAGCCTGAATTTCCGTGATAGATAACTGTGCAGAAACTGGGGTAAAAAAGGAATCCACTGGTTTCAGTGGCCACAGCCTGAGAAAGCAATTCTCAGAACAGAAAGACAGCTGACCTATGATTTTTCTCCCCTGCCCCTGCCCAACTAAAAGTTTAGCTCTAGTGGGTCCTTTGTGCTTCTCTCAAACTGATGTTGCGGGTTTTTTTTTTTTGCCCAAGTCCATAATAATAAATAATAACAATGCCCAGACCTACCTTTTTTCCATTCACAAAGAAGACCAGCTCATCGGATTGCAAATGGGAAGGCATTGCTTCCAAAACCGATTTTCTCTTTTTTAGCTCAAAGAAGGAATGTCATTAAGAACTGAAAGTATAAATCAAGGAAACTGTTTGACTCAAAGTCAGAGAGCAAACAATAAGACAAGAGCTTAAAAGTATGAAAGAAAGAGGTGGAGAATTTCTTCCTTGGCTTTTTAAGTAATACACCAATCAGATCCTCTCTCTGACCTTATCATGCCATGCCCCTCTGAGCTAGCTCCTTACACAATCTCCACCTTTCTCAGTTTTCTCTGAAGTCTACTAAAAAAAACCACCCAACCCCCCCCCAACCTGACTTTTAGCACGAAGAGCTTTGAACTGACAACTTCACGATATTCTTCTGAGGGACATGGGATAAATGTTCTCCCCCATTTTTTAGATGTGGAAACTGAGATACAGAATGGGTTAAGGGACTCACCGAAAGTCCCCAAAATATTAAGTGACCACTCCCAGATTAGAACCCTGGTCTTCAGAGTCCACGTCCAGTGATCTTATCACTGCTTTTTGAACCTCCTGCTATTAGAAAGGCAGGAAGGAGCCTTTCTGAGAGGGAATATCAGCGGATTTTTACCTACATCCCTAACCAGAGGCCTGTAGATAGAGGAACACTTGGGACAGGGACTGTCTCCCAGCATGGAGTAGTGGCTAGGATACTGAACTTGGAGTCAGGAATACTTAAATTAGAATCTTTCATCAGACTCTTACTAGCTGTGTAACCTTGGGTAAGTCATTTAACCTCACTTCAGTTTCCTAGGACAAGCCTATGTTTTAACATTAATTATCATAGGGTCATTACATAAATTAATTTCTATTATTACATCTTTCAAGGAATTGTATATGATACTAACAGCATGGGAGACACATTGTCGAATGAGACAAGATTTAAGGCAGGATTTTCCTCTCTCCTATTAACTTTTTTTTTGTTTTGTTTTTAGGCAGTTGGGGTTAAGTGACTGGCCCCGGGTTACACAGCTAGCAAGTGTCAAGTGGTTCGGTTTGAGGCCGGATTTGAACTCAGGCCCTTCTGACTTCAGGGCCAGTGCTAATTTTTTTTCATAGTCAATAAGCAGTAGGTACAGGGAGATTTTTTTTTTTTGTATTCTCTGAACTGTGCAGTCCGCTGTATGATCGTGAAGACATGGTCTACCAACCATTTGCAAAAGCCTACCTATTTCCTCTTCATACCTTCCTTCATCAAGGAATCATCACGTGCATTATATATGGATTCTCATAAAATTTTCATAGAGATGGGAAGGTGGTCTCATGGGTCAGGAATTATTAATATTCTCAGTCATTTATTTTGGTAACATCAGCTTCTAAATTCTGAGATTTCTTCTAAGATTTTGGAATCATCCCCTCTATTATACTGTTTGAGTTTGATGAATCAGTCAATATACAATTTGAATTTTTTCCAATAAGGGAAATAACTTCTATAACTTCCTGAATTTTTACAGTTAAGATATCCCAAACTGGAATAATGTTTTCACTAAATGTCCTGACCATAAAATAAACAATAGGTTAGTTATCAACTGGCAGACCGACCTGGACATTATAACTGGTAGGATTTCATCTGCTCCCAAACTTATTGGCACTTAAGTTATATTTCTGTGACAGTGAGGCAATTCAGTGTTAAAAATGAATCATTTAAGCCAGTTGTCTCTTTTTAGAAAGTTGGTAAGGTGGTTTTCTCTTCCTCCCTCCTACCTTTTAAGCTATTTGTTTTGTGGAGTTTGTTTTGGATTCAATAGAAACTTAGAAAACTGGACCGGGTGTTTGTTTCAAAGGTCTTGTGATATAAGCCCCAATCTCCTATTTCCTAATGTTAGGATTAGTATCCTGGCTGATCTGCACTGCCAGTCAGTCCGGTTTTGTCTTTGTTTTTTCCTGAGAAGCCTGATCTTGCAATTCAATGAAAAAACCATGGACCATGAAATCAGTGGAAAAGCAATCATCCCTGGTCTGGTTTCACTAAAACATTATTTTTGGTGTAAGGACTCTCTAAAGCCACAGGTGCATTATGCAAGACTATTTGAGCCCCTTTGACTGCTTGGATTTGTTGAAGTATTTCCATGCCTAAATGATGGATTACATTTATTTAAATGCTTTTTCTTTCTTATTTTGAATTTAACAATTGTTAAAAAAAAACCCCACAAACGTCCTAATATATGAAAGACAACAAGAAAGATGATTGTATATGAAGCTACGTACTTTTATTTTGTCTTTTTTTTTTTTAAAGCTATCTCTAGATCGGGAACCAAAAAAAGGCAGAAAAAATTTACATGATAACTTTGTGGTATATTGGGAGAGAGTAACAAGTTGTACATGGTGGATTTGTAGTTTCATGTGCAATCATCTTTTTTTTTTGTATTGTACTGTGTTATGGAAATGCTTGTTTTGTTCCCTAAATTGAAAATAAAGTAAGAGTTTTTTTTTAAAGTGCATACATACTGAATTTGACAAAATAATAGCAAATTATTATTTTTGCTCCTTTGTGAAATATAAGCAGTGGGTAAGAGGGAAAATTGGTTATAAATATTTACTTAATAAGGATTTGTTAAATCATAAAGGTTTTGAAGGTGAGTGCCTTTGTGTTTCCTGACAGGTGATGAAACTAGAAGTAGAAGCAGGTTTAAGGGAAAAGATAATAAGCAATGTTTTGGCCATTTGGAATTGGAAGAACGTTCTAGTAGAGACAGATTTTGGAGAAGCTGGTCTGGGGCTCAGGAGAGAGATCAAGACTGGAGAGTTAGGATCATAGATCGTAGATTTAGTCCAACCCTCTTATTTTATTTTTATTTCAATGTTTTCTTCTTTTATATTTTTAAACTATACAAACACCAGCAAACATGGATATTTCCGTATGCAAAGAAGAACAGAACAAGAGGCCTGAGAAGGAAACCAGTGAGCTCTTTTTTGGAAAGTTTGTTGACTTGCTAGTCATGGATCCGTTGTCATCAGAATATTGGATCATGCAATAGATTATAGAGAAGGAAGGGACCTTGGAATTCATCTGGTCCAACCCCCTTATTTTAGAGATGAGGAAACTGAGACCCAGAGAAATTAAGTGATTTGCCTAAGCTCTCCAGGTGTTAAGCATCAGAGGTGGGATTTGAATTTGGGTCCTCTGACTCTTTCCACTGTGACATGCTTCCTCCCTGATAATACTGAGAGTTGATCTAAGTTCTTCTGGATGCTCAGCACTTTAGAAACACCATGTTTTATTGAACACTTGAACAGTGTGGCATTTTAAACAAGTTTTCTCACCTGAACTTCACTATTGTCCAAAGAACACATCTCAGGGCAGAAACTTTGGTTTGATACTTTCATTTGTTACTAATGTCAATCAAATCCATCTAAATAAACAAGAGAGCTTGGTGCTCCTTCAAAAATGCTATAGAGAAGCCTTAAGGGCTTTTCATTTTAGTTAAAAAAAAAAACCCAAAAGATGAAACTGGCCTATCCTGGTTGTGAAGAAGCAACATAGATCTCAACTCCCTCCCTGTTTCCCAGTCACTAAGAGACAGGATCTGAGATCCTGTGGCAACTGCATAGACTCACAGACCCACTGAATGTAAGAACTGGAAAGGACTCTAGATGTCATTTCATACATTCCATTCATTGAAAATTGAGGCTAAAAGAGATTAGGTGATAAGCCCAAGGTCACACAGTGCTAAGTTGTGGAACTTGCTAAGTTTGGAGCCAGTAGAGATTCAAGTACAATCTATGTAATAAGAAATATTACTATTAACAATATATTTATATAACTTTAAAGTTTTAAATGCACTTGACAAATATCTCATTTTATCCTCACAACCCTAGGAGGTAGGTGCTATTATTATCCTCATTTTATAAGTGGGGAAAATGAAGCACACAGAGGCTTAAGCGATTTGCCCAGGGTCAAATAGCTAATAAGTATCTGAGGTCAAATTTGAACTCAGTTCTTTGTGAGTTCAAATCCAGTCTCAGACACTAGCCCTGTGCAAATGCAAAGTGGTACGGATAATCAAACTCCTGAAATCTGTGGTCTGTGTGTTTCTTCTATGGTATGTACAGACCTGAACTGAGGTAAAAAAAAAAAACCATGTAAAATCTTTCTTTAATCAAAATTACAAAAGAGTTTTGCAAATGGCGATGATGTGAATTTTTGTTGTGAAACAGACTGGAGTCAGACTGCTAAGCATAGATTGAGTCTTGATTTCTAAACATGTTGTGCACTTTGGTGAAAACTCTGCATCCCTCACTCCAAGGAAGAGAAAAATTATAATATGCTAAGCACTCCTCTTGAAGTTTAGAAGTAAGAATACACTGTGGTTTGGTTTGAGACATAAAATCAAGCATAGATATAACCCTTTTCCATTCATACTCATTTTTAGGAAATGTGGATGGACCAAGGTTTGCAAGTTGAAGGATGATTTCTGGGATCCTGAAAGAAAGGACCAAATGAGAACATAATTGTTAATGGATTGTGTAATTACTCAAATGGATCTGTGACCTCACTGATTTGAATATTCCTTTCAATGACACACATCCCAACCAATCCATACCTGCCCATCCTATGAGATTGCCTCTTGCTCAGGTCTTCCCATAAGTTTGCAACAGTGGGGTCCACCTAGTGTCCTGGGTGCCATCCTCATATTCTCTTGATATCAAGAGGATATCAGTGGAACGCTTCAGTGTGTCCACCTGTTACCACTTCCTCTTGCTATGTGACCAGTCCACTTTTTCTTCATGTCTTACTTTTCCCAGATGACTTCTTTTATGTCTGATCTTCAAATTTTTTTTTTCGGTGGTTATAGGTTGTAGCCTGTTCACATCTACCATAGTCCTCTCCGTTATAAATCCTTCGGAAACTGTTGTGTTCCATATCCCATAGTGATAAAACAACAGGAGAATAATTTTTTTATTTTTAAAAACAAAAAAACTCCCTTTGTTTGTAGGAGAAACTTGCTATCTTTAAAAGGACTTTGAATATTCCTGAAGGTAATCCAGCTTGCCCTCCTTCTATTTCTCCTCTACTTTTTTGCTAGCAGCTTTTGCCTATGCATAGGTACCCTTCCCTGCCCAC